CCCCCCCCCTCAATCAATGTGCAAACACGGGGGCCAAGCGTAGGCAGAGGCTTGGGGGTGCATCTGCACCTGCACCCATTCTCTTGCGCGCTACGCAAGCCGCGCAATGGGCTGAGGCAGGCTAAGATGAATGTTGGCCCCCCCCTCCCCCTCCTCTCCTCCCCCTGCAAACAGAAATTGGCCAGTGAGAGCGACGCAAGCCTCATCAGCCAGCCGTGCCCGGTCATTCTGGACCCCTGCCAACGCGCGCAAAAAGGTTGCGCACACTTGCCAAACGGCTTTGCGTTGCGCCAAAGGGACGGGCTGCGCTTGAAAACGATGCTGCAGTCCGTCGCAGCAGGGTTGAATGGCTGTGCTTTCGCTGAGAGAAAGTAGGCCGCCATTTCTTACGGCGCCCCAATTGGCCACAATCAGCGATGCGCTCCAGTCCCCCCCCCCCTCCCCCTCCTCTCCCCCTGATCGGCCAATGCCGCTTGAAGGTGCCGGCCAAAGCGCCCGAGCGGGACGTAGGACGTGGCCGCTCGAGGTGGCCGCTTGTTGCCGCTGGCGGGCCGCCATTGCCTTGCCGCGCCTGATCGCTGCATCGCTGCCGAGACCGAGGGTGCAGGGCGCGGCTGGCATCTGGCCTCTGCCTTCTCTCGGAGCCGTCAAGATGGACGCTAAGGGAGGATGCGCCGCTCAATGCCGAGGGTGCCAGATCTCAATGTGGCGTGCTCTCTCTCTGCTTGTTCCCACGCGCTCGAAGCAGGCGCGAGGTGAGGCAGGCGTGAGGCAGGCGCAAGCGCGTCACGCCTGACGTTGGGCGTGACACACACGCGCCGCACAAGCGACACACGCGCGACGGCGCTAACAGCAAGCGGACGGACTGGCGGCCGCGGGGCATGCCGAGCGGGGGGGGGGGGGGGGGGCGAGGAAGGGGCAACTGCAGTACTCAGACTCAGACTCAGACTGCAAGCTGCAGCAAAGCAAAGCACCCGCACGTCCGCTGCGGCCTTGGCCCCTTGGCTCTCCACCTCTCCGCCTCTCCGCCCCCCGCTGCACCTTGCTCCCTCCATGCTCCCATTGCATATATAGAACGTGTTCTCTTCCACTCTCTTCCCTCTCGGTTCTTGCATTCCCACCTACACCTCACCCTTGCATCCCCTTCGCCCTCTCTCTGTGCATCGCCCTTGCCTTTTCTCCCCCGTTCTCACAGCAGGCGGCTAATCCTCCACCTGAGCACCCACCAGCACCATGTCGCAGCTCACACCCGCAGCCGGACCCTCACGCCCACGTACGCCCTCGATGCCTCCGCACACGCCACCACCGCCAGCCGAGTCGTACGACGCGCCGTCGCCGTCGCCAGAGCGCAGCGAGAAGGCGCCGCGCGGCGACGGCGACGCGCAGCAGGAGCAGGAGGCAGAGCGGGCAAGGCTGGCAATGGAGGAGAAGCAGTGGCTCGTTGCGTTTGACGTGAGTATACGAGGTCGGGGCCGGGGCGCCAAGGGGGAGAGAGAGCACAAAAGGCAGAGATGGCCTGGCCCGCCTTCTCATGGACCTGCGCCTCGGCTGCCTCCCATGCCTCGCATGCCCCGCTCATATGCCTCGCCCCCCTCCCCCTCCCCCCCCCAACCCCCACACCCAGCATCTCGACGCACAAGATCCGCGCAACCTGCGCTTCCGGCACAAATGGCTCATTCTCGGCGTGTGCTTCTTGATCGAGGCATGGGCCAACACCAGTGCGTGTGTCCCCTTTCTTCCACTTCTCTCTGCCC